GCTTGTATGGTCACATGGTGGGCACGAGACAGTAAAAGAAGAAGTGATATTTATTCAATAAAAAATTCACATAATTCATGAACAAAACATATATCTAAATCATTCCTTTATTTTTCTAGTACACAAGAATAAATGAAGGAACTTTATTCTGTAAAATATCATTGATCAATATTGTGATACGGTGGCAGAACCGACTGTTTTTACTAGTTTGCATTTTGTATTTGTAAATTTTGCGGTAAGCAAGAGTCGCCACCGACTTTTATTTCATCTAATCATGAAAAAGGAAAAAGAACAGAAATAACCTTTTTTCGAGATATTCTGAGTACGGGGGGTAGATTATAGAAATGGAAGGTGTTAGAACCCTTTCTATCTATGGTTTTCCATGGGCTCTTAGGTACTTGCTCATTTTTTCAAATTGCTCGTGTGTGCTTGTTTTGAAAATATTTTACTTCGTGATAACCCTTGTATCAGTCCTCAAGGATGTGACAAAGTTTGTTTTGAAAATTTGTTTTGAAATGTGTTTGTGTGAAAAGTTTTTATTGAGCAAGTACTTAAGATTCTACCTACTCGAAAAAAGATTATTCGTTCTCGTTTCCTTTAGACAACGTTATCCCACTATTAAGGAGTAGGTAGCACCGTCGTTAGAGTTGTAAGGGACATTCAAAAGTGACAAGTACAATCACTAAAGCAACAGTTAGAAAACTTTAGTAGTAACCCTAGAGTCTTAAGATCTTTCCGAGGCAACATTTCTGAGGCAACATTTCTGAGGCAACATTCGAATGGGACATTTTGATCTTTTAGACCGGAGAACAACCACTAAAATCTCCTATGCTTAATGATTGTTTACCGAAGGCAACTGAAGTGAGACAAACCCTAGGAGTGAGCATGTGCACGTGAATTGTTTCAGTTATTTAATCTTTGCACATTAGGTGATCTACCATTTTAATTTCAAGATACTCTTGCCATACAATCCTATTAGCATACATCTAGATATTTAAATATTTGCAGGAATTTAAAGTGCGAAAAATAAACCTAGCTATTACAAGGCTTTGACAGTTACATAATTGTCTTGACGGAAAATAAAATGCGGAAGCTTAAAACCCTAATTAAAACTATTACATCCTTGAAACAGTTACAATAATAATAAAACGAACTGAAATGCGCGCAGAAAATTAAGTGCGAGAAAAATTGAAAACCCTAAAAGTCTAATTAAAAATATAAGTTAATCTTGGGAAAAAAACTTAATTAGGTTATGTACAATTAAAACCCTAATTCTAATCATTTTTTAATTATAAAAAGAAATTAAAATTAACCTAATGTAAACTAAATTAAATAATTTAAGAAAATAAAGTATTTTATAAAAAAAAGGATTTTATGTATTTTTGGTGGTTTTTATTTGAGAGAAAAAAAACAATTTAATTACCAATTTAAAACCTAATTTCTATTTAATTTTAATTAAATAATCAAATAAACTAATTAACCTAATTTATTTTCAAAAATATTAATTTGAATAAATAATATTTAATTGTGTTTTTGGTGATTTTTTTATTTTTATAAAAAAAAATTGTGTTAATTAATTAAAACAAATGAAGAAATTAATTAAAGAAATTAAAAAGAAAATAAAAGAAAAGACAAACTGGGCCTGTATGTACTAGCAAATAGGGGGTGTAATTCTGAGTTTCCAGGCCCAATAACCCTCTTCAAGCCCAGTCAGCATTTGATTTCTTTTAGCGTTGACTTAAGGGTGCATCATGGTCCCTCACTATTGGAGCGTTGGATTTGGTACTATGCTGGATTAAGTGGCTGGATGCTGGTGGAGTATGGTGGACACCAGGATGAGAGATACGCTGGATCTGTTGAGAGAAAATAAAATAAAGGGAACGCTGGGACCTAGGATCGAACCCAGGTCCTTATGCTTAATATCAATGCCTCGTTGCCAGCTGCGCTATGTGTTTTAATTGTTAGTATAATGAAGAAAAAAAATATAATATAAAGAAAACAAATCACTGACTCCCACGCGCGTGAATTTTAAAATGGGCGAATGGCTGGCTGACACATAATCTTCTTCTACCTTTCTCCGTCGCCTTAGGTTCTTGTACCTTTACATACAGACAAAAGTCTATAGCTACAAACCTGTAAAACTCAAAAATCCAACACAGGCATGATAAATTAATTGTGACTATACCAATCAACTCGTCTTGGCCTCATGAGCATCTTGGTACCTTATTCGTGGCCTAATTTTTCATGTGTCAAGAAGCCCAAAAACGTGGCTTCAAACCCTAGCTATGGCATTCATCAGTATGGGCATCAAAACGTTAATTAAACCAGGCCAACATATTGCAAACATGATAACAAACATGTATATGCCATTAAAACATGCTCATAATGTATAAATCATGATAATCGAATTTGAAAAATCTGGAAAACTGTAATGTTCATACAAGCTATTTCTGGGCGTGAAAGGACTTGTGATTGATTGGAATAGCTGCCTGAGACGTCCAACAATCGATTGGCAATGCTAGGATGGCTTGAGAGGGCCTGTATGATTGAAACCGATTCACCACTTTTTCCAATTTTGAGCTTTTCGTTCTCTCACTTTCACGCCTGCCAAACCTTGATTTGTGTTTTGTTCATGTCCAATATATATCTAAGAATGAATTAGGATTGTGAAATTGGATTGAATCTTTGCAATTATGATATATTTGATTTGATTTTCATGCTACATGTAAACTTGCTATTTTGAGCCAAATCATCCCTTTCTTGTACCAATTATGCTTGATTCGTTTTGGCCTTGATAACTCAGAATATTTGGATTGCCAACATGTCCAAAAACCAAATCAAATCATATTTTTGCTATTATTCACCAATTATTTGATTTAACTCAACTTATAATTAATAAAATATCAAAATAAATTGAAAAATGAAGCAAATAATATGTGGGTGAATATTTGGGTCGTGGACCACATTATAAGTGAGGTGCAATAATAAAAAGTTAGGCTCATTTAGCAAAAAATACATTTTGAGCACATTTGACTTTTGGCAATTTTGCAAAAAAAGTCAACTTTGACAAGGCATGTCTCCTCCAATTTTAACCCTAGAGAGGTGTTATTTGACTTTTTAGAAATCTTAGGATGTCTCCTAAGCAACCCTTTTGGTCTCATTTCAATTTAGTCTTCCATGTTCATGTAAAAAGCTTTGGCCTAAAAGGTGTTTTTGTTGACTTTTGAAAAGGACCTATAATGTCTGAATTTATATCTTTTCATGAGTGCATTTCTTGAAATTAAGGGCTGAAGATGAGTTGTAGGGAATTGTATCCTCTTCAAAATGAGCTTTGGATGGAAAATTTCTGATGAAGCATGTGGAAGTTATGTTTGGTCAAAGTTTGGTTGACTTTTATTAAGAAACCCTAATTTAGCAACTTTTGGGTTTTGATGAATTTGGAGCATTCCTTGAGGAATCATGATCAAACCTTGATCAAATGATGAAAGTCACTTCAAAATATTGATGTTGACCAAAATCTTGAAGTTTGACTTTATGTGGGTCACAATTGACTTTTGACCTAGTACAGTCGATTCTCAAGCATCTGAGCAATTGACTGAGCAAACTTATTGTGCAAGGCATGAAACTTGACATGTGGGGTCTTGAGAATATATTAAGACCATGGAGAGCATATGAGGCCTTTGTGGTTCACCCATCTTGATGACAATGAAAACCCTAATTTGGGATACACTGTCTTGGGAGAGAGTTTGTCTGATCAACTCTTGGGCAAACTTGAGCAAATTGAGGATATCTAGGAGTATGTATTGAGTAAAATGAGAGGGAAAATTTTGGGGTACAACAGATATGTTTGATGTAAATGTGCGATTCATGCATATTAAGATTTTTTTAAAAAATATTTTAAAGAGAATTCACTGATTCATATTTAAAGTTTAGAGGTTATGGCTGAATGGAACATAAATCTTAATATGAACACACACTTTTGAATTTATTTTATACAATTATCATAATCTAATTTGTATTCTTGTTCGAGTTTTGGATCAAATCCCCAATGCAAGATCTAATAATTGTACGAGATAAAATATTGTGCGGTTAATAATCAACACGAGAATAAAATAATAGTGACAAATATGAGGATGTTGCGTTGGATGTGTGATAAGACTAGATGTGATAAGATTATAAATAAACATATTATAGAGAGTGTTAGGATAACACCTATAGTAAAAAAATGATGGAAAATAAACTTAAGTAAGTTGGTCATGTAGAGAGAAGATTAGTAGATTCTGTTGTAAGGAGAGTAAATTAGATGTATAGAAATAAAACAAGTAAAGGTAGATGAAGAGTTAGAAAAATTATAATAGAAACATTAAAAAAGATTTCGAGATTTATGAATTAGATAGAAACATGATCTTAGATAAAATATTACGGCGACATTTGATCTACGTAACCGACCTCATTTAATATAATAATGCTTGATTATTGTTGTCGTTTGATTTTGCTAAAGAGAAACATTCCGAGTTTAATACATATTAAAATTTCAATTAACTTAAAACTAAAGTTTCAAGAATTAATCGGTTCTTCAACAAATATCTTATGCCAAATTCTAATAGTTTAGGAAGTTTCCTTTTTTTTGTTGTCAAGAATTCTACACTCATATATATATAAATTTCAAAATTGCCATCGGTTCTTAAAAAAGACATATCTCATACCAAATTCTAACAGTTTAGGAAGTTTCCTTTTTTTTTTTTTTGTCAAGAATTCTACATACTCATAAATTTCAAAATTGGCATTCTATAATTATAGCCCTTCATTCACGGGTAGATTTTGACTAGATAACAAAAAATTGACTCAGTCCTATTTCTCAAAATTCTTCAATCCAAAGTCTAAACATACCCTTGAACACGTTACCAACAACATTTCATTATTATAAAAGACACATAACTATGTTAAAGTTGAAAGCAATTAATAATCCAAGTGAATACATAGTCACAACAAAGAGAAGAATGAGGAAACACTCTATGTGTAGCATGTCTATGCTTGTTATAGGAGTAGTACTACTTTTGGGAGGAAATCACAAGGGAGAGGCATTGACTTGTAGTCCTGTAGAGTTCAGCTCTTGTTTAGGATCAATCACAAGTTCATCTCCACCATCAACTCTTTGTTGCCAAAAAGCAAGAGAGCAAAGGCCATGCCTTTGTGGTTATCTCAAGAACCCAAGTCTCAGACAGTATGTTTACTCACCAGGTGCCAGAAGGGTCGCTAAATCTTGCGGGGTTCCCTTTCCAACTTGTTAGTCATCAATTTAGATATAGATCTCTGTAATAATGATATTATAATGATGTTGCCAATGACTTCTATGATTGTATACTATTATATAATGCTACTAAGACAAGGGTACACCAGTTTTTATTACTTTTACATATATTTGTTACTTTTTCGACCCACAATTTTCAATTAGTTCTCTCTTTTATGTTTATTGAATTAATTATTATAAAATATGAGTAGTACTTATCAGATGCCCATAACAAAACTCAAGCAAGACATAGTACTAGTGTCCATAATAGTAGGTTTAAGTATTAATTATTAAGTTGAATCAACGTATTTTACACACTATTGCAAATAAAATATATATAATCTAATTAATAATTTATTTTAAATTGCAAATAAAATCAATATCTATATATAATTTATATAACAAAATTTTATGAGATGTGTTTAAATTTTTAGGTCTAAATTATAATTAAATTTATAAATATTATCATGATCATTTTTTTTATAAACTAAATATTTAACACAATTACATATATTTTAAGTTTAAAATTGTTTTAATTTATACCTAACCAATTAAATTATATAATTTAAAAAGTTATATATATATATATATATATATATATATATATATATATATATATATATATATATATATATATATATATATATATATATATATATATATATATATATATATATATATATATATATATATATATATATATATATATATATATATATATTAATACCGTCAAATAAATTATTATTTTATTAAATTTAAATATTGCATTCCTGACTCAGAGTCCTGGCTCTGCCACTGGTTGTTGCTTCACCATACTAGTTATCCAAACTCGGATCTATCTGTTTAGATATGTTCAATTAGCAAGGAGTTGGCTCACACACCGAGAGGTCGTGGGTTAACTCCCATTATCGATGGGAGGATATTTTTGGTGGATACTCTGGAAGTATCTCTATAAACACTCGTTGAGTCTTGAGGTCATCCTTGATCCTAGTGAGCCCTGGAGCCCAAATTACCACTACGCCAAAAAGGGTTTTAGGCAACGCACCTTAGACAACGATTTATTCCAAAAGCGCTGCTATAAGTTAAATAAAAAATAAAACACGAAAAGTAAGGAAATTATGCAAAAGCACTGCTAAAAGACCCACTTTAGAAAACGCATCTCCAAAGGTCCACATTAGACAGCGCTTCTTAGAAGCGTTGCTAAAGGACCACGTTGAAGTGCTGCTAAAGGCCTATATTAGAAAGCGCTTCTTCAAAGCGCTGCTAAAAGACCCACCATAGACAGCACTTCTTAAAAACGTTGTTAAAGGCCTACGTATGAAGCGCTAAAGCGCTGCTAAAAGTCCCACGTTAGACAGTGCTTCTTAAAAGCATTGCTAAAGGCCTACGTATGAAGCGCTGCTAAAGGGTCATATTACAAAGCGCTACTAAAGAAAGAGAAAGAGCTGCTAAAGGCCCACATTAGACAACGCTTAACAAAAGCGCTGCCTAAAGTCTTGTTATTAAAAAAAATAAAACATGCCCAAACACACAGTAACGTTAACATTTCCATAAGCTCTTCTCACACGAACCCTCTTCGCTCTCGCCCAAGATCATTCAACGCCTGAAGTTCTCTTTTTTTTTTGTTTCCATCTAAACGATAATCTCTCCTATTTGTTCCACATCATTCAAGGTTCTCATCCTTCTTCCATTCAAGACCATTTCATCCTTTCTTCCATTCACAACCAAGGTTCTCTTCTCCTCTAGATATGATTTTTGATATATTTGATAATGTTGATATATAATGTTGCATTTGGTTTAGTTGACAGTGTTGATTTAGTGTTGATTTAGTGTTGATAATGTTTATGTTGTGTTTTATGAGGCATGTAAGGTGTTTGTGAAAATGTCACAATGAGTTTTGCATGTAAGGTGTTTGTGTAAATGTCACAATGAATATTACATGTATTCAATGAGAGAAAATATGTTCCTATACAATTAATCGAGCTATACATTTTGGTTTGAGAGGTTGTCGTAATAACACTTATAGTGTTGAAATTGAAAGCACTTCACATATAATTGAAAATGAAATTGAAAGAACTCATATAGTTGATGGTGTAAAGTTGATAATATAAGTGATTATTTGATGATAATGTAAAGTTGAAACGATATTCACATAAGTTGATAATTTAAGCGCTTGATGTCTATGTCGGGTTATTCCATTAAGATATAGTCGAGAACCATTCATGGGGAAGCAATTTATCTTTTACCGTTTCTTTGAGATTCAGACAACTTTATTATGTAATTTGATTTAAATTCGAAAGTTCGCATGGTTATGACATCGAGTGCTTTCCCATTTTGTTTCGAATCTTCTTGAGTTTAAACTATCGAGCATTCATAACTTATTATAGTTGTTGTCCGGTGTTTGTTTAATCGAATAAATCATGTGTTGAAATCAATTTTCCATGTTCTGATTCTTAAATTGTGTAACAAAATGATCTTTGATTTTATTTTCATTTGAGGATTGGTGTCATGATTTTATTCTCAACTCTATACATTTTCAATGTTAGTGTGCTTACTAAAAAGTTGGTTAAGACTTTTTTGTATTGGTGTAGTTAGTCGAAGACCATCACTGATTCGAAGAACATCAAAGCAGCAGCATTCGTCGTCGGCACCAATAACCCCTCTTCTTTCTTTGGTAAGTCAAGTTCAAATTCAACATTACCGACTTGTTTACTTATTTACTATATGCTTCCTAAATTATAAAACATTTTATCTATATCAATTAAAAAGCACAATTAATTTTATATAGAAATAATTAAATTTAGTCTATATCGATCTAGAACTAATCCGATTAAATCTTACAAAATATTTCTAAAAGTTTGTATTAATATTCTGTTTGTGTCGCAAAAGTGTTTTTCTTTATGTTCTTTTGAAATAGTTGCGTGAATAATTATAGTGTTTTTGTTTACCTTAATTAGTAGTAATTCCATGGATAAAAAAATGGATGACTGTCGATCGATTGTCAAAAGAGTACGAGAATAGGGTATTTGAATTCGTTAAGTTTGTTGTTGAACATGTCAAAGACTCCAGTCAAATGAAATATCCTTGCTTGGCTTGTTTGTATGTGGGTCGGGTTGACCCAGATGGATTGAAATCGCATTTACTGACGTGTGGGATTGATCGAAGTTATAAGTGTTGGATATATCATGGTGAGAAAATTAACGAGAATGTTGAATCGGGGGTGAAAGGTAATACGACGACCTATGCTCCAGACGACAATGACACGGATACATACGATTGTGATCGAGTCGAAGAGATTGCAGAAGTCTTGAAGAAGATCTTAAGGATTGTCCCAAAATGTTTGAGGGGTTGCTAAGCGATACAGAGAAACTGTTGTATAAAGGTTGCAATAAATTCACAAGATTGTTCGTAGTATTAAAGTTGTACAACTTAAAGGCGGGCAATGGATGGTCGGATAAAAGTTTCAGAGTTATTAGCCCTTATGAGAGATATGCTTTCGGAGGATAATGTTCTTCCTAATTGAACCTTTGAGGCCAAAAAAATGTTGTGCTCTATTAGAATGAGCTATGATAAGATACATGCTTGTCCAAATGATTGTGTTTTGTTTCTAAGCGAATATGCATCATTAAATGAGTGCCTTAAATGCGGTTTATCTCAATATAAGAAAAAATTGTCTCCAGCAAAAGTCTTATGGTATTTTCCTATAATTCCGAGATTTAGGCGCATGTTCCATAGTGAAACCAATGCAAGACACTTGACTTGGCATGCAGATGAAAGAATTATTGATGGAATGTATCAACATCCGGTAGATTCACCACAGTGGTCGAAAATGATGATTATCCTGATTTTGGAGAAGAAGCAAGAAACCTTCGCTTGGCATTATCTATTGATGGAATGAACCCAAATGGTCTTCAAAGTATCTCATATACCACATGGCCTATGATTCTTATGATTTATAACCTACCTCAATGGCTATGTATGAAGCATAAGTACATGATATTATCTATGTTAATTTCTGGGCCTAAACAACCAGGGAATGACATAGACGTATACTTGACACCTTTGATTGAAGATTTAAAGATTTTGTGGGAGAACGGCGTGGAGGTTTAAGATAGATATAGGAAAGAAAGTTTCAATTTGAGAGCGATGTTTTTTGGCACAATTAATGATTTTCCAGCATTCAGGAATCTATCTGGGTAGCATTAAAGGTCAACGTTTGTGTCCTATTTGTGAAGATGGAACCGATACGACGCGATTGGAACTTTGTCAGAAGAATTTGTTTCTTGGTCATCATAGATTCTTACATTCTAAACATCACTATCGTGGGTGGAGAAAAGCATTCAATGGAGACATCGAACAACATAAAGCTCCACATGTATTGTCAGGTGAGCAAGTTTTTGAAAAGGTGAAATATGTGTGTGATATGGTGGCAGGACCGACTGTTAATACTGGTTTGCGTTTTTTGTTCGCAAATGTTGCGGTAAGCAAGAGTCGCCACCGACTTTTCTTTTATCCAACAAAGGAAAGGGTAAAAAGAACAGAAAAAGACATTTTTCGAGATTTTTTGAGTAAGGGGGTAAATTATGGAAAGGGAAGGTGTTAATACCCTTTCCATCCGTGGTTTTCCACGGGCTCTTAGGTACTTGCTCATTTTGAAAACTGTTTTCGTGTTTGTGTGTTTTGAAAGATTTTGTTTGCTTTATGATAACTCTTGTATCAGTCCTCAAGAGTGTGATAAAGCGTTTTTGAAAAAGAAGTTTAAAAAGTGTGTATATGTGAAAGAGAATCAGACTTTGAGCAAGTGCTTAATAGCTATCTACCTACTCGAAAAAGGATGTTCTTTTCCTCCTACCATTTAGATAGTGTTATCCTACTATTAATAAGTAGGTAGCCCTATCATTGGTGTTGAAGGACTATCGAAAGGGACGCTAATGGTCACCGAAGTCAACATATAGAGATACCTTAGCATTTCAAAGGGACTGTCATCATATAGGAAACATC